TATGGAAAGGGATTTTGCTGCATTCCCCCCACTATTAAAGGAATGACCCCACTCCTTAGAAATGTCCCCAGTCCTCAAAAGTCCCTGCCTTGTTTTTGAGAACTGAGCCAACAGGGACTCATATCGAAGCAGAAGACCTTCTTGGCAAAGCTGCCAGTGAACAAGTTTGACAAGCACCTACTGCGTCCCTGGCTGTGACCTGGTCACTGTGGGAACTCACACGAAGGAGACAAGCCCACTTACCCTGCCCTGCAAGCTGGGCCTCAGAGCAGGCACAGCTGCGAAACATTTGTTCCCAACCCCTGCCCCTTCCCAGGGAGACTTAGGCCCCTAGTGAGGAGGCAGCGCTGAAAGCCAAGAGGAGTGCCTCTGGCCCAGGGCAAGGAAAGAGCAGGAGGTGGGGAGAAGGGAGACAGCCCACCTTCTCTTGCCCTGAGTAGGAGCCCTGAGCTGAAGGAAAGGCTGAGTCTCAGTTTTCAGAGCAAGGGCAAGGTTCAGGCTGGTGTGGAATCTTCTGAATCTATTCCATTCATACAAATTAGAACTAGTCCTTTCTATGACATAACAAAGTCTTTAAAAGAGAGTGCTCTGAGCAGAGGCAAGTGGGGTCCTTAAAAAGTTGGGGCTCCCGGGCCAGAGTGGTTCGGTTGGTTGAGCATCATTCTATGCAGTGGAAGGTTGCCGGTTCTATTCCCCAGTCAGGACACATACCTGGGTTGTGAGTTCAGTCCCCAGTCAGGCGTGTATGGAAGGCAACCAATCGAGGTGTCTTCTCTTTCTCTCTCTCTCTCTCTCTCTCTCTCTCTCTCTCTCTCTCTCTCTCTCTCTCGTCCTCTCTCTAAGCATATATTCAGGTGAAGATTAAAAAAAAAAAAAGCTGGGGTTGGGGGTGGTGACTGGCTTTGAAAGAAGTGTGGCACACAGGCGAGAGCAGCTTCTGGAGCTGGGGACCTGTCACCTTACAGAAACCACTTACCTTCTTCCGGCTTCTATTCACTTGTTTCTGCCATAGTAATAACTGAATGTGCTCTTTCTAACTCTCAGTGTTGCTCAGTGTAGTTTGTAGACCACGGTGCTTCCCACATGTTATTATTGTTACTATTACGATGGGTGTTACCATGATGGTCATTGTGCCTGCGCTTGGGTCTTGGAAAAGCAACTCTAGATTAGAGAGCGTGAAAGGGTAGTAACTGGGCCTATGTCCATCTCTCAAGGACTCCAGCATTTGCAGGCAGACAGGCAGGACACCTGGTTTCCTCTTGCTCAGTTTCCTCATGAAGGAAGTGGGAATAACAGTATTGAAGACCTGCTACTTTTCACATACAGGGGCAAGCGTAGGAGCAGGCATGTATCTGGTCCGACTTGACAGATAAGGTAACAGAGCATCAAGGTGACTTTGCCAGGTCCAGGCCACAACAGTGATTAAAACCCAGAATACTGGAGCCACGCTGGTATTCATGTCACTGCTCTCCACCCCCAGCCAAAGCTAAGCCTTGACCGCACACAGTGGCCAGGGGGGTTGGGGACCCCAACCTCAGGGGCTGGGCTGGTTGGGCTCACTGTTCTTTCTGCAGTGCATGAGCATCTGCTTAGAGTAGCATATTTTAGTTCTCTTTTCTCAAGAAGTCCCAGCTGTAAGTGGAAATGGGGCCACGGGTGCAAGGCAGGCAGGCCCCAATGCTTCCTGCCCCATCTTTGCACTCGGGCCTGGATTCCTGGTGGGGGAGGAGTTCAAGTCCAGATGCCAACAGGCTTGGGAGAAAGGCCCCTCTTGGTCTGTGTGCAGGACACTGGGCATTCTTTTTAAGACGCCCCTCTGCCCCCAGTCCCTACCCCAAAGTAGCTCCTGAGGAAGTCCCAGGGTGGGGGGATCTCAATTCAAGAGTCTAGGTCAGGGGTCCTCAAACTACGGCCCACGGGCCACATGCAGCCCGCTGAAAACATTTATCCAGCTCTCCGGGTGTTTTTGCCGCCGCCGCCTGTCCTGCTTAGCAGCCAACTCGTCCCGGGCCCACAGTACGCATGTGTGGAATGTCTGAGGGACAGTGAACTTGCCCCCTGTTTAAAAAGTTTGAGGAACTCTGGT